TATCTTGACCTGAGCATGGCTCTTTGTCTGTCTGTAACCACTTTATCTCCCTGCCTGTTTATCTGCTTTTCTGACCACTAAATTGACAAGAGTAGAGCAAACCGAGATGAAAGCGTGATGAACTGAAGGGACAACATGGCATTGTGCTGCTGTGTCCTTCACACATGGTTGCTGAGGCCTGTTCTTTGTGTGTTTGATCATGTTGGTTGGACTCTTCGCTCACAGATAAGCCATTAATCTACTCTCCTAGGACAGACGTCTTTTTTTCTTCCTTCTTCGTGGCACATTTTACGATTAAACCACGCAATGTCCATTGGTGTTTTGCATAATTAGACCACTTATATCAAATGCAGGCAGATTCTAATGGAGCGCGAAGGGGACATATTTACTTTAATTACTGCTCTCAGTAGCTCTATACCTCACCCTCCCTCTCTTCATCCCATGCTCGTCTGCTCCCATCCCCTGGAGATTGCAGTGGCAGTGTTAAGGGAAAAAAGATTGAAGAAGACTGTTTCCACCAAAGGTCATACCCTCCTTCGGTGGAGTTTAGATAGTATTTGGCCTCACAGCCCTTTATGTTTCAGTGTTGCTCAACCGGAGTCCCCAGGGAGCACTCGGATAAATAAATTTTTAAAACTCTGTCTCTGTGTCTCTCTTTTACATTTTGGGATTTGTTGAAAAGTTGTGCAACACTGAGCAAGTCAGTCAAAACTTGCATCAGATGGGGCTGAAGGCATATGGGTTTTATTTACTGGAAGCTTTTAGAGTTTTCTGTCAATAACAGCAGAGTCCAAAATAAAAATCTCCAAAGAGCACTCTAACACCTTGCGCTATGGTGTGTTTTGTGCTTTCACATAGCAAACAGCTCAAATAAGTGGAATGTGAGGGGGTGACTGGAACCTCAACGCTCCACAATACAAAGTCTATTTTGCCAGCTGATTGTTGGAGCCACAGAAACACAGTGAAATATTTAAATTGCTAAGCCGAACAGTTCTTTCATTCTTGTTTCTTCATTGGCTGTTAAACGCTGTGCAATAATGCTGAAAACCCTGGCCCTTTATTTTGGTGACTTGACTGTTGGAGATGAAACGGCACACACAGCCCTGGGAACAGATGACAGAATTAGAAGAGGGCCAGGAAGTGAGAGGAAGGCTTTGAATGAGAGACAAGGCTGGAGAAGGAAAGCAAGAAACCACCCTTCCCTCATGACTGGCATTCCTCATTAGTGTCATCATTAGACTTTGTAGCTTGTCAGACGTCACGCTTTAACTAGATTCTATTATAAAAAAGGTCCGTCACCGAAACAGAAGTTGGTGGCAGAGTGATGGCAGGTCTCTGCATGTAGAAACTTTCTTAAGGGGTGGTAAAAAAAAATCCAGAGGTTAGCAGGGTCTGCCTTTTGAAGGGATAATTGATTGTCTCCGATGATGGACATGACAGGCTCCAGCTGTACTGCTCATAAAGAGGAGAGCACAAGAAGGTGCATGCAGATTGAGCAGCCCTCATTATCCTCTAGAGAACACGTTAAGGCTTTAATGAGTTATATCTGGTAATATGTATGACTCAAAGACATGAAAAAGAAATACTGCTATCGAAAATGTGTGTGAATGTTCGTCCCCATCTCCCACCTGTTGCTGTATAACAAACCCTGTAATACAGAGTATCCGTCATCTTTTTTTAAAGAGTGAAGTCAGTGAACTCACTTTAGAACTGAGTAAAGAAAGTGGAAAATATGGCTGTCAGGTCTGTGTGTATGTGTTTGGCACAACGAAGGTCAGCCTTTCTATGAGTAAAAGGACACCATAGCAACCCTCTGTCTTCTGTGGCACACTTTTTATTTTTATTTTTTTTCCTAGACGTCGTGACCTCCCTCCTCTCTTTATCTGTCTTTCCCTGCGTCTGCCGTCGCTTAAACAGGAACTTTAACAGTCTGTTGGTCACCGCGCCCATAAATGGCCACGACAGCAAATCTTCCGCCAGACACACCCAGGTGGCAGTCCAGGATTTAAACCGTTCGTATAACTGTCAACCTCTGGTGAGGAGAGAGTATAGAGAGAAAACATCTACTGAGAACTCTAGGAGAGTAAATGGTGGATTAAGTTCGGGAAATTGCATCGTTTAAAAGACGAATAAGTGGTTTCTCAGACCAGGAGGGCATGAAACTTTGCAACAAAAAAAGCTAAAAACAAATGTGCATCTAAGACAAAAATGGGGATATACAGGTAGGAGGGATTTCAATGAGGGGGGTTGAATGGGAGAGGAATCCCCTGCACCTGCAGCTCCCAGCTGTGCACTGCTTCTTCAGAATCATAGCTCCACCTAGAGAGACGGATCTGTTTGGAAAAACAGGGATTTATTATCGCTGGTGGTGCCCATGTGTGCTCTGGCATGATGGGACAAAGGTAAGTGGGGCAGCTTATTACCAGCTGTGACCGTGAGGCTGATAATACACACTTGGCTGCCAAGTGAGCATCATCGTGCCAAAACCTGCTCCTACAGACATCTATTGTACGAGGCACTACAATAAAAGCCCATTTGAGTACCTCGGCAGATGTTTAGATTAATACTGTCACAACTGTTTGAGATAAAAATACATTAAAAAAACTCTGTTGAGATGTAAAACCACGGGAATGTTTGAAGATGAGTGACTTGAGAGTACTCGTGGGTTGGAAGATGAATTTGTTACATCGCAGCTGGTGTGATCTTGTCACGAGATGGCATCATGTTGTGGAGAGGCACTTGGCTCCCCACCTAAACATCTTTAAATGAGAAAAGCTCATTTGAGCCCACACACAATATGGTACAGATATGATGCGATTCTACAAGGGGAGACGCCAGGTTTGTAGTTTCAGTGTGCACGAGGAGTCGGGTGGAATAAATCTGTGGCTACACGTTGGGAATAAAATTGTTGGTGCTCCTGCAGTTTATTGAAACAATGCTTCATTTTTCTTTTAGGGGATTCGGTTATGAGCAACTGAATGTTTGCATCCCTTTAGAGTTGCAATTGGTTGCACAACTTATTTAAACTGCAATAAATGTACATCTGTGTTCATGGTTTTTCAGCTTGAAACTCTGCATCGTTTCTTTTTTATTTTTATTAACCACAATTACTATTAATCACTTGTTTTGAACACATCTCTTTCGGAATAGAGGTTGGGAATGAATCTACTTAATAATAACTGTTTCTCCCCTCTAAGGATTTGCGTATGTAAAGTGTAGTGTATTAGTGTGTGTGAGCAGAAAGAGGGCAGGTTCTAATCAATAAAACAGGGAGTTAAATAATTTCTTTTAGAGGCTGCTATTAGCCTGAATCACAGTTGCAGCAGATCAGAGGATTGAACCACAAATGTGGAAATGAACCAAATGCTTATCCAATTAAAAGTGAATAATCCACAGCAGGAAGTGTGCGGCAAACCTACACRGGTCAAAGCAGAAGCACCAAACGAGCTGAGCTGAGCTGCTGTCTCTCAACTCAATCGGAGGCGCGCAGGAGTGAGAGGAGGAAGAGAGAAGCAGCACAACAATGCACAGTTTACCAAATGAGCTGTTTTGTCAGCCACGCTTCAGGGCTCTCCCATTGTCCATGCATAAAGAAGTAACTACGTTGTTTCAAAATTAGCTGCTGCTTAAAGCTCCGCAGCATCATTAAAAGAAAAAAAACCCTGAACATTCTGAAGAGACGAAAAGCTTCGCTGCTAATTAGGGATGCTTACTGAGGAAATGTGTTTGTGAGGATGGCTGCAGGTGGAGGAGGAGTTCATCTCATCAGGTGAGACAGGTGAGGCTCTGCAAACTCAGTGAGGACATTTAATCCGAAATCTGACCAGAAATAGAAACGCTTCAAGGAAGATGCTTCTCCTCGTTTATAAAATGTTTTACAGACCTGAGGAAAGCTGATCTGGTGGCATCTTATTCGATTGCACAATATTTTCTCACATAAAGACCCTAAATAACAGAGCAGAGAAGTTAGTTTTCAGGCTGTGACTTCCCCAGCCACTGTTTTCTGTTTTCTGTTTTCTGTTCTGTTTCTCTCTCTCTCTCTCTCTCTCTCTCTCTCTCTCTCTCTCTCTCTCTCTCTCTCTCTCT